AATTGAATTAAATTAACATGCTATGACAGGAAATTTGCTGCACATGTAAATGCGCTGTAATGTCAGGCATGTAAACATATGTACTGGACTTTTTTCTTTCACTCCGCTTTTCTTACAACTAATGCTTGTATATGTGGCTGTCTCCTGAGAGACACATCACGTGCTTTTGCAATTGCATTTCACTTGAATTTGTACTTAATAAAGATTGTAATTAAAGACTAATTCAATAAGTTCGTAATTTTGTGTAAAACATGCATTGCATATGTGCAATGTATTTAAATATGCAAATTAGTTAATAATGAGTGAAAAAAAAAGTATTGCAGTTATGTTTGCATATACTATTAGCTAGAAATGTATTTCCACAAAAAGCTGACTTTTTGTAGCGCACTCTGACAGGTGATGAAAACTGGTTCCATTACGTTGAACCTAAATGCATAAAATCTTCACACATGATTTGGTCAAACAACCAAATCGGCGCCAACCAGCGAGGCAATCATTTTCCATCATCGACTTCATGTTAGAAGACTGTTTAAAAAATATTTGGAAAACAGTGGCTGGGAAATTTGACTCACCCTTTCTACAGACCAGGCCTTGCCCGTTTTGACTGACATTTATTAAAATCAATAAAGAGTCTGAATGGAATTCAGATCAGAAAAATGTTAGAAAAATTGGCTTGATGCATTCTTCACCGCCAATCCGGCGCCGTGTCTTTGACATGGAATTCACAAAAAGCCATGAAATTGATGGGCAATACTTTTAATACAACTATTGCATATTTTCTTTTTATCAAATAAGCTTTAAACATAAAAATAAAAACCACGGATATATATACATATATAGACCAAATATTTATATGAGTTTAATCAAATAATGACTGTGAAATAAGCCAATAAAGTGCAAAAAATTTCGTACAAAACATAATCGAAGACTTTTTTGGTAGTAAAATAAGGTGCACGACTTCGCTAAAACTTGGTGCATGTGCGTAATATTTATTAATGCGCCTAATAGTAGACAATATATAAATATATATGCGACAGTAGAGAAGACATTGCAAGCTACAATATAGTTTATTTATTGATTATACCTTTAATTGAGGTCAAAATTTCAACAATTCCATTTTGAAAACAGGTGTTCTAATATAAAAAATATTATTTTCCTAATATAAACAATATTGTTGGGAACTTAACCAATGTATTTGCCAATGTAAAATAAGCCTATAAAAACATAAAAAATTACAAACGAAACTTACTGATAATAAAACAGGTGCATGACTTCGCTAAAGCTTGGTGCATGTCCGCAATATTTATTAATGCGCCTAATAGTAGGCAATATGTTACTATGTGATATTGTAGAGAACCCACTGCAGGCTAAAATTTACTTTGTTCGAAATTTCAGCGCAATGTACTTTTTATTGAAATAAAAATTTTCATTTTGAAAAAAAAAAACACTAATATAAACAAGATTATGTGATAAATATAGGCAATAATGCGGTATTCATTATTAATATCTGTTTTTAATATTTTGCACTGAGGAAACAATAATAGAACGCGAAATCATGCGAAAACGCATAAAATTAGCAATTTCAATATATAAAAAGAACGTATTTAAGATCACTAAGAACACAGAAAAATAACAAAATGCATAATTTCTTTTTTATAAATTAAAACCAATTTAAAAAAAATTAAAATCATATATTTAAAATAGTCAAACACACAAAAAGGTGCATGAAAAGACACAAAATCGATACTTCAAAAGCTGATAATTTAATGTTATGCAAGTATGCGGTGGTCGTTGCACAATTAAACAACAACATTGCAATGAGAACACGAGATACAAGAATTATTAAAAATAAATTTAAAATCCGGCGGATATAATTGTGGTTATACACATGTGCTCGCTCCACTGCAAATGTTAATAAAATGCAGAAGACACACACATACAAAAATAACACTAAAATAATACAAAACCAAGTAGGCTTACTTACTAAAAGTGCAGCTAATTGAAAAATTTCAAGCACTTTAAATAGAATCACCCAAAAATTCAGCCGAAATTCACCGCAGCAGAGCTTATAATACGAAAATAATGTAGCAAACATGAAAAACACATTTCCAGCGTCTGCCTAGCGATTAAAAAGGTAAAGGCATCAACGTCGCTTTCATGTCAGCTGCCAGACAGCTGCAAACATAGGCGATTTGCCAGCCTGCCGCACACGCCGCAGCGCACAGGAAGCACTCAGCAGCCAACCCAGACATAAACAGTTAGTACACTGCTACGTTTTTTTCATTTGCTGGCACTCGGTAAACTCCTCTAAGGCAGGCGAAGGTGTCTTAGAGGCCAAAAGCACTCGAAACCAACAAAAATTACAGAAAAAACGAACGAGTATATGAAAGAAAATTACAAAATTGCAAATGAAAGGCGCACAAAATGTTGCCGCTCCACCTTAAGGACACTAATTAAAAGAAACTTTTGTTTAATTAACTTGCTTAAACGCCGCTTTATGCTTAAGTGCGATTTTTTTTTTTTTTTTTTTGTAATTTTTTTCCAATTTTTATACCTTTTTTGCACGAGAAAAAACTTGAATGAATGAGTTGCTATATTTTTTTACACTTTGCCAGCTTGGCAATGCAAGCAACAGAAGTGCACTTCAGCGCCCAACTCGGCTGGGTGCGGGGCGTATACGTAACGTGAATGCACTTTGCTTGCCACCACAGCCTTCTTTTATTATAGAAAGAAAATTTCGCAACGAAAAATTTGCTAAACACAAATTGCACGAAACTCTTTAATGCTAGCTAAGTGGATGCAGCGTTTTTTCCCCCCCCCTTCACTGTGAGCGTGTAATTGTATGGCGGTCCGCATGGTTTTTTACAATCACATTTACGGAAAATGAGCCTGATCGTCTGTTAGTATGAGTTTGTGTTAGAATGAGAGTGTGTTTGGGTGTGGGTGTGTTTTGCGGAACAACTTGCAACACGCTATGAGTGCACGCTCAAGTGCTTTCAAAAGTTTATATGTACTTGTATGTACGTACACATGTGTGCGCTTTTATATTACACTTTGTAGATTTGTGTTTGTGTGCGTTTGTTGGAAAAAAAGAGCAAGCAGCAGCTTGAACGCCTTTCAAATTACCGATGGCACAAATTGCGACGCCCATCTAGTCATACACACCTCGCTTAACACAGGAGCACATGTGCTACAACAACCACATCGCCACATATGCCTCTAAGTTTGTGTGTGTTTAGTATTCTAAGAGACGCTGCTGTAATCAAACTTACACTTACACGTGCAGCGGAGAACAGCAAAAAGGCAAGGACCTTTAATGCTGCTCACTTGCTTGCTATTACACGCACACACACAAATCTACACATATGCACAAGTGTACACTTGAAAGCTGTTGGTTGGCAAACGACAAAAACAAAAACGCAAAACCATTTGCAAAAAGTGCAGTTCCATTATGATGCTGCCGGCCAGGTGTTATTATGTGGAAGCCAGTGTGGCGCGGTGGCTGTCGGTAGGGGCGTAAAAGTCTGCAATCGAACGGTCGAAGGAAATACGGTCGAAGGAATAGAAATACTATAAAGCATGCAGTGGTGTGTAGGTGTGGAAAATGCACAAAATTCAGTATTAACGAAGACGAGCGCTTAGAAAATGTTAAATTTAATATTATATATGTAGTACTATGCATATGAAAGTATTCTTAAATTTAAAAAATTAGCACAAAACAGCTACGAAAAAGCAATTAAACAATAATGAAAAATAAAATAAATTGAGTATATGGATAAATATATTTTAAATTTAAAAAATATATTTCACTGCAAAAATAATTCAAGTAATTAGTGAAAAATATTTTTTTTAAATATAT